CTGGCGTGGTTTTCCCCTTGGTCTGGTGAAAGACAGAGGCCAAGTAGTCGTTCAGGAGTTCAGCTTTCTCCTGGGTGCCAGTAACCAGCTCTCCTGAGTTGTTGAGCAATGGTCCCATACTCCCATTTGTTTTCCTCCTGTTCCCTATGTACCTAAAGAAGGACTTCTTGTTGTCCTTGATTCCCATTGCTAATCTAAGTTTAGTCTGTTCCATGCAAATGCAGGCCAAATCAGACTTCTTTGTTATTGAATACCCTGTGAATTTATTTCTAAGTTCTGCTGTATTCTTTCAGAATGTTCCCTGTTTCACAAAAATAGTTTGTTCAACTTATGAATAACTTTTGCAAATCAGTCAGTCAGTTTGGAATAGGTCTACAGTGCCTTATTGCAGTCACATTGCAAGGTCCCTCATGCAGACACTTTCCTTCACCCATGGTCTGATAATACAAGGTAGTGGACACCAACTACTAGTGATTTCTGTGGGAGGATAGGATGCCTGGGACCTCTCAGGATCAGTTTGAAAAAGTATTTTTCTTTCTCTATAATGAAAGGCCTGAACGGGAATGATCTTTTCTTATACTTATTGGTCAGCCATCGCAATAGGACCCTGATCTCTGTTGAGCCTTGTGGTATCACTGTCACATGCATAAGAGTCCATTTCAAAGCTGGTGATCAGGTTACAATGTCCAGGCTTTTCCCACAATTAAAAAAGTTAAAAATATACTTAAACCGAGAAGGAAAAAGAAAAGGTAAGATTAGGTCTAAGGTGTAAGAGTTGAGCCATGGTCTTTATGAGGCCCAGGAAACCATCTGTGTCTCAGAAAGGTGTCATGCCTGTTACCAGATCCTAATGTAATTATAAATCCCTCCACCTCAAAGATAAATTCAGTAATGATTTTGGGATTATTAGAGAGGAGGTTATTTGCTATGTTAGAATGGAAAATGGCTACAATGCAGTCATTCCTGATGCAACTGAAACATAGTTTGACCTTCTGCTGTAGATGGGACTGCAACTTAATAGTAGTGTATTCTGAAATGAGAGTTTTGGCTCCATTTAGTTTAGGACAGGTGTGGGCAATTATTTTGGGTGGGGGGCCACTTACTGAGTTTTGGCAAGCCATCAAAAGCCGCATGACAGGCAGCCAGGGGCAGATAAATATTAATTTTCTAATTTTTTTAGGGGCCCCACAGGCCAGATAGTATGTCCTGATGAGCTGCATCCAGCCCATGGGCTGCATTTTGACCATTGCTGGTTTAGGACATAGTGTTGAAAATAACTGATTCTGTCTACATTTGGTAGACTGAGGCAAGTGATAATTATATAGGAAAAGCCCCATAAGCATGGGAGATTTTCCAGAGTAGATGTAAATTGATTTCTTTTTGCTGCTACATGATGCCAATATGTGTGTAGGAGTGTGTGATTACTGCTGAATTCTCGGAGCGATAGGAGAGAGAACTAAATTTGTAAGGGATGAAAATGACCAGGTTTTCTACCCTCAAAAACAACTAACTTGCTTTGTATGTTTTATTTTAAACTAAAAGTAATATGATAACATTTCATACATCTGAAATACTGTTATTTTTTCTGATTTATTATATTGATCCATCATTATGCAAACATTTAAGAATTTGATTAACTTTACTGTAATGGGTAATTGTATCAGGTTCAGTGGAATGATTCACTATGATACAGTTACAAGGTTTCAAGATCAAGGCTATAGGTAGGCTGTTCAAACTTGATGTGCTCATTGGATCATGTTGGATCACATTCTGCTCTCAGATAAGTATGAACATTTCCAATTGTTGACAGCAGCCCTTGCCTTACTTAGATCAACATGTAAACTGCCATAAAGCTAGAAAGTATTCCCAGGTATATACATCTTGGTCTTATTACAACAGTTCATAATGCATGTTAATATTGTCTTGCTGCCAAAAAGGCTTGGCATTTCAGGACTTTAAATTTAGCACCTTCAAGATTGAGTGACCTTTTTAACTGTTCCTGTTTACAGATGCTACTTGCATTCTTCTTCCCCATTCCTGAAGTCCTTGGGGAGGCTCTTTAGAAATTTCCAATTCAAGGCTACTATAGATAGATATATATTATTATTACTGCTATACTATATTAGTAGTAGTAGGAATGAGAGAGCTTCACTGTTTGGACAAGGTTTTTATAAACAAAACCTAGGCCACAGGTTACTGTCGGAACACCATGCAAGGCTCTTCCCATGTATGCTATCTCCTGAACCAGAAGTAGTGCTGAAGGAGTGCCAGAAGGCCTGTTTCTCAGCAGATCTTTTTGGGGCTTCTTTATAGCAGCTAACAAATCTCTATCCCCTAAAGCTGGCCGGGAGGGGGGGGTATATAGGCCTAATGATTAGTTGTTATAAACATGAAAATATAAATGTTATTATAAAAATGTAAATTGTAAATATATTTGTTTGTAAAAAATGAATTATTAGCCTTCATTAGGCCTACATTTCTCATGATGAAATTGGGCAATGTTGTCACTCACTTCTTATGTACAAAAGGAAAAACAAAGATTTCTTCAGCTATGCCCTAGACTGTTACTGGCACCCCTCTCTTTCTCCTTTAGAAATCTTTACTGCCTGTGCTACTATCATTTTTTGTAGCATGTCTGAAAATAGACTGAACATGCAGTCAGATCTGTATGGATGGGCTCTGGCAAGTACAGATTAAAAACAGTATACAGCCCCAGGTAAATGGGGCTGCACACAGGCGGATCTGGCTGGACACTTCTTGCCTGGGGAAGCAGACAAAATAGGTCTAAGATGCCACATGTTGATTTAACTGAGGAGTTGTACCCTTGGTTTGTAAGCTCTTTAGGAGTGGGGTCCCTTGACTTGATTACTTACTCCTTCTGAGATGCACTGCAGGCAGGAATGGGAAGAGAGGGGAAAGGGACATTTAAATTACCTTTGTGCCTCTTATATTTTGGTGCTTCAGAGGCACATCCAGGCACTGCAGTAAACTGAATCAGTCTCAAGGCTCCTTTGACTGATATCCATACTGCTTCCAGTCCCCTGGTAGGTCAAAAAAGTGGGAGTGTTGCATTACTTCAGTTCTGGCCCAGAATTTGCCTGGGGAGCTACAGTGGAAGGCATCACTGAGATATTTAATTGGTTCTAAACTAGAGAGGAAGTCTGGGGGTAAGGCTCAGGGGACAGGGCTTATGGACATGGCAGCAGAAGAGAATCAAACCTCTGTTTTCTAAGGCTTCTTGTACCCACAAGTGATATAAAGGAATATCATGTAAAGGGCAATTTTTTAAATATTGTTTCATAAACACAAATTCATATTCCCTGTTTTTTTGGATAAAGTTAGAATATGCAGCTGATTTTAAAGCAAGTATAGATTTCCCTTGCTTTATGTGGGTTCTGTAGGTGTGAATTTGCTCTTATGTGATGACCCTTTTTATATAAAAAAATCGTTATATGCAAGGTAAATTCACTCTGATGCGATCAGTGTGGTAGAAGCCTGCACTCAGCTGCTTTGTGCAGTTCTTTGTGGGAGGGACTCGCACCAAAATATAGTCTCCTGTGTGGATCTGTGCCCCTCACTTGGTGTCTGCGACATGTGTTTCTGTAGCTGCCATCCCCAATACGGTAACATTCACCACCAGCCTGTGCTTATGTGTACTGTCTGCTGTTGGTGAGTACCAAAATTGTCCTGAAGTGGTAGAAATGAGTCTGGGGGTCAGTAGTCGAGGTCTTGGAACGTATCCCTATTTGTTACATTGTAAAGTGGGTTTCCTTTATGTGAATTCAAGTGATGCACCGTTTTCCAGGAACATATGTACAGAAGTATAAAGTGAGGGAAACCTGTATCATGGACAGAGGCGACCTGAGCAAGGTGCGGGGCCCGAGGCAAATCAGCCCATGCTTGGCCCCACTCCTGCTCAGATCCCACAGGCCCTGGACCCGAGGAAGCTGCTGCTGCCGCAGGTGTCAGCGGCAGGGGGGAGGGGTAGTGAGCAGCTGGACACGGAGCCACTGCTCCGTCTGGCTCTGCAGGGACCCCCGAAGGGCAGGGGCCAGGGCAGTTGCTCCGATTCACCCCCTGCCCAGGGACGGCCCTGATCATGGAAAAACACTTATCATTGTTATATGCTAATAATCTGTGATATAGACCTTTGATCTTGATAGTGTGTACAGCTTATGTACGTATTCATGCATGACTGCATTTTAGGGTTGCACAACCTCAGCTATTTGTACCCATCATCCTCATGCATGCGCCTGTATTTTCTTGCTCCCAGGTGTTGTGCCTTGTGCTGCCAGCAGCTGTGAAGGTGGTGGGGCTGTGAATATTTGGTAAACACCAGGCTAAGCCAGAAGGGTTTGGAGATAAGGCCCCTAGGCCCTAATCCTGTCTGGTCTATGCTGGTGGACTCCCACAGCTCTTGCACGACCCGGGTGAAAGCTCCTGGGGCTCGTGAGGCCTGCTCTTGCCATGTCTCTGCAAAAGGCCGGGCAGCTCTACTAAGGAGGAGGAGAAACAATAAGCAACCCGGCTCCCCCGCCCCAAGGGCCGTTTGTGAGG